CCCAATACAAATTGAGCCCTAGTTAATGGCACTTTTGCTAAGTATAATTAAAAAATCAAACTAAATACTCCAATACACAATCACAACTTAAAATAAGCATGGTGAATTGCTTAAAAATGCAAAAATCTACTAGGAAACTTTTAAATCGTCACTTTTGCTGCTTTTTTCTGAACCATCTCCCTTCTGTAGAGTTACCGAGGAGATGCAGTGTAGGCCCAGAGCTGCTGGGCAGAGGGGATGAGGGTATTTTGACTTTTGCATTTCCTGTTGTTGAGATACAATAGTTTTCACTTTGCGGTAACATTTTTGTTTTATGGCCCCTTGTGATGTCAATGCCTGCCCTTCCTCAGCCTTCCTCTAGCTCTTACCTGTGGTGTTTTGGTACTTAAGCATAAGTACTTCTTTACACCCACTCCTATCAAACCTCATCTAGGTTTACATTAGAATTCTCCCAGGTTTTCTGAAGCATCAGTGAATCCACTCAGTTGGAATTGTATACAACCTGAAAATACAACTCCTCCTTTTCCCAAACCTTTGAAAATGATAGTTGAAACCCATGTAGGTCACAGGACTCTACAGGCTGCTGGGAGCCCACAGCACCTCTCTCTGCAAACTAGAAAAGGTGCCCTTTGGTGCGCCCAGGGAAAAGTGATGCTGAGCCCGTGCACCTGGAATGGGGAGCCAGGCAGGCTGGGTCTCAGACTCCACTCACCACCACAGCTGAGTCCAGGAAACACGTTACAAAGACCCCTTTAATCTTCCTGGACTATGTGTGAACGAGCCTGTTGGGCAGACAGATCCTGTTGGATAAAGGCAAAGTAAACTCAGAAGAAAATGTCAACGTTAAATGAATCTGAGTTGTGGAGATGATTTATTGTATTTAAAAGTTTTGGAAGTGGACAGAAATAAATTTTAATTACAGCTTGGCCACTTGGTAGGCCACCTCACTGAAATACCATTTAGTAAAAATCTGCAAAATAATACCATATTTCATAGACTCTAGATGGCATCAGCTGTAAGACAGGATCATCTTCATTGCAGAGGTTTTTATAATGTAAACATTTAAGATCAGAACATGAAAAAATAGCCAAGTGGGGTGTAACCTGATGTGAGGTGTTGCGACTGTAGGACTGTAAGACATAAGGTGATGCCCCTTTTAGGTAATGTCTCTTTCTGGAGGGATTATGGGCCATAACACATGTTGAGTTCTAGCCACAGCTTGGAGTCAGTGCTCAATGAATGGTGGAGGCTGTTGTTGACGTGGTTGTTATTTGGAGCTGGTGACAAATAGTAACAAAAGAATACAGGTCTTCACAATCTCGCAACATGCCCCGGCTGCTGTCTTGCCCGGCTCTGCGAGAAGACACTGAAGCCGACGTGCTCCGGGTCTAGAAGTAAACCTCGGAGGAATATTAAAGTATAACAATTCACAAAACTGAAAAACAGTCCTCTTTGTTCTGAGAATGGAGACCCAGATCTGATTTCCCCAAATCCCGAATGTACTGGAGAAACCTTTTGAAAAGGAATATTGTTTCAAAGGTGGGTTGGGATCCTTCTCTGAATTTGGAGCTGGAGAAAGAAAGCGTTCAGAATGCCTTGTGAGCCTGCCCAGTGTTGGTTGTTCTTCTCACCTCTCACTGACAGTTTCTTCCAGGACATTTCCTGCAATTTTGGAACTGGCCGTTGATTGGCTCCCTAGTGAAAACCCTTCTGTGCAGCAGCTTGTGACGTCAGTTCTCATTTAGGCCTGGACGGTCTATGGAGGACGGAGACCTGCCAAGAGGTGTCAGTCAAAGCCTCTCACCTGCCTCCAAAGCAGCTGTTTCCTGGACTGGTTCGGGAGTGGGCCTCACGCCAGGGAGAGCCACTCATTGTCCTTTATTGCTGCCAGTGGGAGAACGCTGATGTAGAAACACCGACGCCAGAATCCCCGTGAGTGAAAATGGCCTGGTTTGTGCCGCCACCTCCGAAGCGGTCTCTTTCTTTCCCCACAGTCTGGGCTTGACATCATTTTTAGAGATATGATAAATGGAAGCAGGGTGTATGTGAACATGGTCAAACACAGCCCTCAGGATGAAAAGCTCCTGTGTACGGAGCCGGTAAGCAAACACAAGGGAAACGACTCTCCGATGGACACAAATTTTCTATGACTTTTTTATTCTTCCGTTTCTGATATAAACTTGTTTCGGCATAAGGATTGATCTAAAATAATCTACAGAGAGGGCCAAAAAAGGAGTTTGTGGCAAGTGTTTATCTACCTAGTTTGGGGCAATGTGGTTTAAGAAAAACAAATAATATGGAAGTGTCAGGGATTTTTGAGAATGAAACGCCAAGTGGCAGCTCCAGATCACAATGTCAGAGAAAAGCCAAATGGCCCGAGAAGACGGGGCCACCCAACCTTACCCAGGTGGGCCGGCTGACCTGCCGTTCGCACACACGGCTCTCATTTCCTCTCCGCAGGTCACTTCCAAGTGCGTGTCACAGGGGCGGGTGTGGCACAGTCTGGAGCGAAGCCGAGTCTTCATTTTGCCCATATAATGGTCTGTGGTGAGGGCTCCCACCTCCTCCCCTTGGGAGCCACTAAAGGACTCACTGGGGACTGGACTTAATTTCACTTGATTTAATTTCTCCCTAAGAAGAAATTAAAGATGTATGTCGCAGGAACATCATACATCTCCTGAGAGCAGTTTTCCTCAAGGTTACTTTGAACAGTTTAAATATGTGTGTGGATTCCACCTTATGCCTCTCACTCTTAACCTTGCGTCTGAGAGGCAGTGGTGGCGGGCTGCTCCCTGTAGCCAAGCACCAGGAGGGGCTGGTGCAGTTCTGGGCTTGAGTCACAGCGATCCGCTCCCCTGGACCTCCCCGGATCGTGAGCACACTTGAAAGAGGATGGTGTTAGTCTGCTACTGGCATGAAAGGAAGTGATAGTGATGATGACTTGATGGGCACCACCGAACCAGCTCCTTTCTCTCAGCGGTGAATCTCAACATTGTTGGTCTCCAGAGTAAACAAAGGTTTGCTTACCCAGGGTTTCTGCTGGCATATTTGCAATCACAGATTCCTTTATGGGAGGTCTCCCCGCCCCAATGTGCACAGCCACAGGCAGCCCCGGCTTGCTTAATCCCAAGAACGTGGCGAACGGGATCCATCCACATACGTTATTGCACCAAAATGATGGAGAATTCAGAATTGTGACAACCCAAGATCCTGAGAGTACAAGGCTAAGTACTTTGGCATAGGCCATGGGGACCTTCCATCATAATCTATGTCATTACTGTTGGAACAGTTTTATTTGGGGTTAGAGAGGTAGATATATTTTAAGAGCAAAACCTTATACTACTTTGTGTGGAGGAGCAATTTATAAAAGGTCTTTCCTTCTTGTCTCCCAGGAATGTAAACAGCCCATTGGTTCCTTTGAGTCACATGATGCTGACAAGTCCTGGGATCCATGGAGGCCTGCTCCCCTGCCCGTCCTCCCGGCCACCAGCCAGGTGGGTCAGCTGCCCTGCTGCCGGACTGGCTGCTCCTCGGCCGGGCGTCTGCTTTCCTGCCCAATCAGCTTCCTTATTGCTTTGGCTCACTGATCCCTTCGAGAACCCAATAAACTATTACCTCCAGAAAAATGCACATTCCTAACCCCGCATTTTTTTTTCATGCAATTTCAGGGGCGTGGGGTCCAGGCCAAGGAAGAAACTTTAAATAGGGTTTTAAGAGAAACTAACCATACTAAAGGTTACCAACATTTTAAAACTTTTTTTTTGATACAGAGATATATATGTGCTTTTATATAAATACATTAAATAGCCAGATCGAATGCCAAGTCTAATAACGACCGTAATTGAGAAGTACGGATGAGTATAAAGGACATTTTACCATGTTGGCCAACTGTGCTGTGAAATGGAAATGTCTGTGCTGGTGGCAGGTGCTGCTAGTCCTACATTCATCGCTGAGGTAGTACTAAGCCGCAGGCAGAGGGTAGCAAAAGAAGGTGCATTTCCCCCCACTCCTCCTCCCTGGTCCAAGACCCTGAACTTTAGGTTAAGAATCTCTGAGGCTCTAGCGATTCTCTGCCTGGAGCTGGGCCTGACGCAGGGTCTGGCTGCCTGAGCCCTTCCCATTCAGGCCAATGAAGAGGACATCGACCCCCTCACCCCCCTTATCGAAACTGAAACAACTCGAGGCTATCATGCTTTTTAGTATCCTGTAGCAAAAGCCAAAACGGCCATTCAGAGTGGCTTTTGTCCCTCCGAAGGAGGAAGGTGGGGACAATGGGGCTCAGAGAGTCCTCTGTGAACAGGTTGGTACCTGCTGTCTTCCCTCCCACGGGGATCCTCTCTGTGAAGCTGCCCCGCCTAGGAGATGGATCTCCGTGTGTGTCTTCTGGCTTGAAATGAAAGACACATTTTCCTCTTGCTGTCCGTCACAAAGGTCTGTGACATGCTCTTGTTGAATTTGCCTCTGGCTTTAACCTCACCTATCCCGAGATGCATGCCTAGCCTAAACGGGAGAGCCCTGCTCAGCAGCCTGCATCCTGGGAAGGCATGCTGGCTCAGTTTTGCTTCTCATCCTTCCCCTGGCTCACTGGCTGGTGCTGAAAAATGAACATTGGTGCCCAAAATGTAAGCATAAGCTTTGGAGGCGTGACAGTGTTTCCCAGCACCTGAAAACACCAATTGTCACTGCACCCCTGTGGTGATGGCCGGCAGAACTGATGCTGAAACCACCAGAGAAAAGGTCACTTTCTCACTGGGATGCTAGAGCTCAGGACTGCACGGGGGAGGTGAGGAGGGGGGTGAAAAGTTCAATTTCCAGATAAAAAGAACTGCTTTTCCTGATGGATGAGGGGAGGAGGAGAGACTTGCAAGGAAAGGCACTCTGAGCACTGCCTTGGCCTGGCGTTCCTGAACCAGGCCATGGCTTTGGAGGCACGTGTCTTGACCTGACTGCCACCAGGAAAATGGTCCATGAGAGAGCCTCACAGAAGATCGTCCACTTACCGATTTTACTTCTGGTTTCATTTATATTTTCTCCCAGGGCCTTTGCTTCAGAAAATCTGGAGAAAAAGAAATGAGATTTTAAGTTTTTCCTCTTCATCTTAAATTACGATTTAAAAATAATAGATTTCTGAGAGATCTCTAAAATAGTATATCTAATACTTTATTAAAAGACACAAAAGAAATATAGTATGTTTAAAATAGAGATAAATTTTGTATTTATCACTGATGTCGTGAATTTTTACTCCTCTACCCAGCATAGAATTTTCATTCTCATATTCACTAATTCATGACTTTCAGTTTCTAGTGTTTATGATGCAGGGGGACCAGAATTAAACATGACTGTAAGCTTTCTGTACTATGTATGCTCTACAGTATCAGGACCCCATAATCACAAAGAACACATACTTAATGTAACTTAAATAACTTTTCCTCTGATTATAAAGTCATATACCAGAGGTCAGCAAACTATGGGTGGTCATGAGACAAATCCAGCCCCCACCTGTTTCTGTAAAAGAAGCTATATTGGAACACAGCCACATCCACATCTATATAGTGTCTGTGGCTGCTTTCCTGCTAAAATAGCGAATTGAGTGGATTGAACAGAGGCCATATGGTTTCAGAGCTGAGAATATCTGACCCTTGACAGAAGAAGTTTGCTGACTCCTGTTATAGAGGATGTTAAACCACATTTTGAAATTTTAAAAATAAGAAAAAAAAATCTCTAATAATTTTCCACCTAGAAATAAGCACATTTTGAGATCTTTCCAGTCTTTTTTCTAGCCAGTGTTTTATAGAGTTAAGACTATGTTGTATACATGGTTTTGTGCTTTGATTTTTTTCACTTAGCACTATACCATGCCTTTCCCCATGTCTTTAGAAACTTCTCCATTGTCTTTGATGGCTGTCTACTAGTCCACCAGGTGGTTGTGCTTAATGATTCCCTGTCACCCAACAAATACCTATGAGACCCCCAGGGAGAGCAGCTGGAGAGGTGGTGGAGGAAAGATAAGGCCTATATGAGAAACTTGCAGCCCAGGACCTTATAGAATGTTTGTTGCTTTCCCATCTTCTCCTTTCTGCCATGAAATTTAAGAGGCAACTGAAAGTCTATGAAAACAAATACGTAATATATGGCTACAGTAAAACCTTGTGCTACTGTGGGCAATACTGGCCCTGCCCTTAGAGGGCTAGGGAGGGGCCTGTCCATCAGGAAAGCTCATGTACAAGGCAGGACTGGCTTTAATGGGTGCATAGGAGCTTTAAGAAACTTTTTTATTATGGAAATTTCCAAATATGCAGAAAATAGAAGAACAGAATGAACCCTCACATATCCACCAACATAGGCCATTAATTGTCAACATTTGGCTAGTTTGATTTTAATTATCTCCTGTCTCCCCATTCTCTCCTCACCTCTCAAATCTTTCTGCGTCCAGACTCACATTATTTCACACACAGCTGCTTAGTTGCAAGGTTTTTGTTAGAGGAAGTGGGGTGAGGAGAGCATTTCAGACAGGGGAACAACATAAACGAAGGCCAGAGAGCTCTGTGCTTGACAAAAAGAAGTGTGAATTATGTCACTGCTATTTTCCGAGTCTGTCTCCTTGGCCTGCGACTGCAGATGGGAATTTCCAGGGAAGGGGACAACATTTTCCCTTCATGTTAGGTTTCTTGGGATTCCACCCCTGGATCCCTCACCAAGGGTATTCAGGCTCATCATAGACTATTCATGTCCTCTCTTGAGTGAGGGCCTGTCGCCTCCAGGAGAGAAGTGCAGTTCCTTCTGATGCTATTCAGATTGGATTTCATTTAACAACCATCCATGTCGCATGTGCTGGGCTCTGTGGGCTCGCACTGGCTGTGTCTGCTGGGCAGAATCATCTCAGGTTTGGTCCAGGCCATTCAGAGGTGAGGACTGTCTTCATGCTTTAGTTTCTGCCAAGTGGGGAGACTAGGACTGCTCCATGGCCACCCTGTCCATGTCCAGTACCTAGGCTCTCATAGGATTTGACAGTCCTTTGTTGTTTAGTGAAAGATTCCTCGTTCTGTCAGTTCTGTTGAGTCTGGAAGCATACAACAATGAGAATGCAAGAGCAAGGCTGAGGACCTGCTGGAATTCATGTCAGCACTGGAGGGCAGAAGGTGGAGACACAACAGCAGGAGCCTGCAGGGAGAACAGGCCACTACGGCAGCACTGTTCACAGAAGCCTGATGGGCCTGGGTGAGGCCCCCTACACCACACCACCACCTTGGCAGTGCACAGCAAAGGGGGACATTTAGTGCGGTGGTTCACACTCTCCAAAGAGCCGCCCAGGACTGGCAGACGCAGTGTCGGGTGGGGGTGCCTTGAGCAGGCTCAGAAGGGTTTGCCCACTGCAGAGTTATGGGCTGAGGGCTGTCCGTCCTCATGAGACTGGTTTCCTTTACCCTGCAGCTGTCACCGCTCCAGGCCACCCCGCCCACATATGTTGCTGATCCCTGGTTGTCAAGACAAACTCTTTCCTAAGGAAGCCCAGCCCTGGGGGAGAAGAGGGAGAATCTGAAGGAGGACGGGGATGAGCAGGGAAATGAGGCGAACTGAAGAGCTGAGAAGAGGGTGACCCCGGTCTGCCACTCCTTGTTCTTCCTGGCCTGCCAATGCCCCTCTAGGCCACAGCCCGTCCCCTTCCTCCTGTCTGGAGCTGAGTTCTGCTCATCCAGACTGTGCTAGGTGTAGCCCTCCATTGCCCACCTTCTAACAAACCCACATTCCCATTAGTGACTTGCCCAGGGAGCCAACCTGCGACCAAGGTGAGGAACCTGTGCTGACTTTCCCCAGGGCTGTGCACCCAGACAATAGATATCCCAAGCTGCTGCTCACTGCTGAGGAGGGGTGGCCCGCAGGGGAGGCATGGCCCACGGGGGAGGCGTGGTCCCACACCTGGCTCTGCTCCAGGGCAATGAGAACCACAGACAGTTTCCTGAAGAGGAAGGGACTGCCCACTCTTTCGATGAGAGGTGAACACTGACAGGTCTCTGTGCGTATATGATGTCTATTGGTTTATGATTAACATGCTATTTATTGATAAGAAGCACATTACACCAAAGTCTACTTACAAACACACTGTTTATTGATGATATGCAACATTATTGGGTTAGAGCGGGCAGGTCGGGTAATGAGTGCCAATTGCCCTGGATTCTGGCCACACCTTGTTGCTGCCTGGGGCAAATGAAGTTTGCTGTCTACCAATCAATGTGCTCTCTCACATTATTGTTTCTCAGTCTCTCCCTCTCCCTTCCACTCTCTTCGGATTCCATCTCTTGGATGACTTTTTTAAGCTCCCATTCGATATCAGCCGTCACTTGTCCTGTGGAATACTGAGGGATGCATGAGTTGATCTTTCTGGTGTTGCACGTTGTTGGAGGATTTGCAGGAACTGGGGTATTTTTTATTAGAATTTGAGATGGGGATGTTTCAGTCCAAAAACACCCATCAGTGGCAAGGGATGAAAATGCCCATCTGTGTGAGGACTTTTAGACCAAACTGTTCTCTGGAAGTGAACTTCATTATCTTGCCACACCATTCCGGAACGGCTCCTTGGTGATTGACATTTTCCAATGTTGGTCTTGTGCTTGTCTGCTCAGCGTTGTTTGCTATTCTGTATCCTTCGTTGTAGGCAACTGGATTAGTTGTTTGTATTTTGCTTTCGCTTGTTGTCAGTCATTATGTTGTCTGAACTAGCACTAATAGCAGGTCCTCTGTTTTTTTCCAAAAATCCTAACTGCAACTTGAGGACATGTTGCTTAATCTCCAACATGAGAAGCCATTGCAATGCCTGGCTGCATTTTGTGTGCTCTTCTGTTGACAAGTACTTTGTTTGCAGATGTCCATCCAACTGACATGTTGTTGCTGGCAGCTGTTTCATGCATGACCTGCTGTCGCATGCAAGGATCAGGCGGCCAAATGAGATATTGTGCTGTTAGGTCTCCTTTGTTGCATTTTTAAAAACCAACTTGCTTATGTTTCTGAATGAATAGCTGAATGTAACGTTGTTCGCAGCATTGCATTCAGCTATTCATTCAGAGATGTGCCATTCCACTGCTCATATGCGCATAACCAGAGCATTGACAGATTGATGAATCCTCTAATAGATCAATATCTATGGGCACTTGCTGCAACTGCTCAAAACAGTATAAGCAAACTGGTTTTTAACAACGCAACGAAGGCGACCTAACATCACAATACCGCACTTGGCCGCCTGGTCCTTGCATGTGACAGCAGGTCATGCATGAAACAGCTGCCAGCAACATCATGTCAGTTGGATGGACATCTGCAAACAAAGTACTTGTCAACAGAGGAGCATGCAAAATGCAACCAGGCATTGCAATGGCTTCTCGTGTTGGAGATGAAGCAACATGTCCTCAAGCTGGAGTTAGGATTTTTTGAAAAAAATGGAGCACCTCTACTGGTGCTAGTTCAGACAACGTGCAGACCTGCGGTTGCATTTTCTCAGTTGTTGAGAGTTAGATGTCCATGCTGTGGAACCATGAATACACCTGCTGGAAACAGAGGCAGTGTTCCTTCGTGTGCATTCCCTGCTGCGGTATGGTAGCTGATAGTCCGAGTCCTCAAACACCTGGATTGTGCTTGTGAGATTATTAGCGATAGTCATTGTGTTGTCATGTGTCGTGACTTCGTTGACTTGAACGTGGAAAAGCTTAAAGTCAAGCCTTTTGGTTCCCCAGTTGTTATTGATGAGATGTTGCCAGTCATGAGGGGAAAAGTGGCCATGGAACCGATGGAAGTCCAGGTATCCCCCACAGGTGCTGAATCCGTAGTACTGGGTGTCTCGCTCCAGAGTTGTTGATTTTCTTATGCAGGTGGTTGTTGTAGGTTGGAAGGACCCAGCTACCGGTAGATTTTGTGATGAATCTGTCACCCACCCACCCAATTTCCTGAGGAAGTGCTCACTCCATCAAACCCTACATATTGCCGCCCAATGGGCTACCACTTCCTGCAGCCATTGCACTAGATTCCAAATTTGAAGACACTATTGATCATCCACTCGTATTTGTTTAC